TTAGCAACTGACTATATATATTCAATTCTTCGTTACCGGGTCTCGGAAATAAAGAGTTTTTCTGCCGAAAAGTCGCCGTTTTTTTTCGCGCACCATTACATGCCTTTCCCTCTACTGCATAAGCGGTAGCGAGAAAGTAAAATGTCCGCCGATCGAGCGCAATACATCCTTCCTCCCCGTTGACGCCCAGAGGTGTAGGTCGACGCCGGATTATTCAGTGAACACTGTCTGACGGGATATAACATGCACTACAGCTGGGGTTTCCCAACGGGGTCGGTATAGACAACCTAGAGGTCGATGAAATTTTTAAGGGGGGTCGATAGCCAAATATAAACCGTCGATTATCCGGAAAATCAAGATCTCATTGATTACTAAACCACAATGAACTTGTTTTTCGTTATAAAGCAAAAGAGAGAATAAATTACGAATTCTCTCTTCTTTCGTATCCTCCTTTCATCCTTAGGAAACTCAAGATTTTATAACTACGAATTTACAACTATACTGTAGCGGTACAGAATTTTTAAGACAAATTAAATTGAGTAAAGCAGACCTAAGAAATTTTCTACTGAAGAAAAACATACGGCGTCGCGCGCGCAGCCCCCCTTCTTGCAACAGCCACGGTCCCCTGACCCATTTCGAATGTTTATGACACCCCCCCAACAGCCGAAGGAAGTAAATGGTAAACCCAGCGAGCCCAATCGGGTAATACCTTCCGAAACCCGTCATCGTGATCGCGGAAACCCGAACAAACCAATCAGTAGCGGAAGCCCCTTCAGAGATGTGACCCTACTTTCGAAAACAGAGAATGAAAAAAAATCTTTTCTATACTCCGCCGGAGCCCTAATTGGCCAAATTAGCGTACAACCCGATCACCTTTAGCCAATAGGACGCGACCGTTGTAGGGCATGGACATAGAGGAAAAAGAAGCGGAAAAACGTTAACTTCGGCGTTTAGAGAAAAAATGCGCTAAGAGAGACTCCTCTGGTTGGAGCCCGGTCCGGGGAGGGCGAGGGCGCTCCGAAGACACTTTGTTAAAATTAAGTTGAGAGAGAGAACTTCTCTGGGGTAGAGCCCAGTCGGGGAAGGCGAGTGCGCCTCCAAGCACTTTGTTAAAAATTTGTTTGTTGAAATCACTGGGGTGATAGCGGATCCTCAGGAGAATTTTAGGCAGAAGTGCAAAGCATTTCCAAAAGTAATTGTCGATCCTTTGTAATGCGTATTTCGCGCAGGATTCTCAATTACTGAAATTTATCATTCCAGAGAATCGCATACCAAGGGAAATTTGTTCGTTCTCCGCACCTGCGATCGCCAGTTATCTACAAATTTGCCGGAAGAAGCTCAGTACGACCCTCTGCTGACTCTCACGACTGCCGCAGACCCACCCCTCTGCGGGTGTGTGGGAGGTGCGCCACCGAACGAACATTCCTGCGAATCGGCCTACGCGCCACCCGCTACAGAACATCTGCACGAAGGCTCTTGGCATTCTTAACTGGGCAGGCAATAAACTGCATATTGTACAAACGTGCCGCGCAAGCACAAGAAATCCTCAGGAAACTCTGTAAAATCTAACTATAAATATTTTGAACTCTTCTTCAGTTTTAGCTTTCCTTTAATTTAATCTTCTAATTTTCTTTTTATTCAATCTTTCTTTCTTTTATTTTACATGTAACTTCCTGACAGCTCGTCCAGAATAAACTGTTGTCTCGCTTTACTAAGGTAATCAAATTGTTTATTCGAATGCCCATGCATGCTTTAGCTTACAATACCTTCCATCACTGAATCTTAAGTTAAGGAAATTGTTACAATTGGCTAGTTTTTATATGAGTAAAGGGAATAGGACTGACTGAGCTAGAACCGGGCCGCTAACCGCGCGTTTCCCTCCGCCGAGAGGTGTTACAATACTATATCGCTTAAAAAAGTACTATTCGCAATACGCACCAAAGAAATGTTATGGTTAGTTCTCGGAAAAAAATAAATAATAAAAAAAATAAAAAAAACTATTTGTAATCATTGCATTTCAGTGAAAATTAGAAACTCAGCTATTCACAAGCGGCAGCATCTTCGATAGTTGAAAAATCGAAATATTTACGAGAATATTTTGGTACAAAATTTGTGATCTTTAAAGCATTTATGTGCAATTATTTGTGTCATGATTACAGATGCTGTACATTATAAAGAAAACGTGAGGGGGTCGTCGATGAAGCAAAAATTCTATCAAAAAGAGAGCGATAAAGGAAAACGGTTGGCAATCCCTGCACTAGCCAGGAGATTAATGACCAAAGTAGTTGATACACAGAGAAACATGAAACACTCACTGATTCGGGTGCAGTAACTGTGTGTGCGTTTGTGGTGAAAATGTGATAGATAGCCCTTGCAAATATAGACTTCTTCAAAGCGAGTGTTTGCAGGAGCCGTCTGGATTCGTTAAACATTAGAGCGCCTACACGATCACAATGTCGCATATCCGGTGCGTGTATGAGCCCCTGTACGTCACTGTGTTAACACTTTCCTATTCCACGTGGTTGTGGAGGTCGTAGTGGTTGTGCAGTGCGTGCGTAGAGTGAGTATTTTTCCGGGAGCTTCAACTACTATGGCTATTAGTCCCGCGAGAGTTGTGCAGGTTTCAACCCTTCATTGATTTATTGTTGGTTATTCCCGGTGCGTCAACTGCCAAGGTTATTAGTCCCGTCATTGTAGTGAATGTTCTTCCGCTGAAGGTGGCGGTGGTCTTCTCCCGCTGGATGACGAGATCCGGCACCGACCTGGCGGTGAGGTTTCCCTCAACCAGGTGTCTCCCACCAGTGGGGCACCACCTTAGCCGGGGCATGCTGTAAGTTTACCGACCGGTCTCCCGGCATGTGAGGTAGTCTAAGTGTGGGGATAGGTAAGGAAGAGGAAGGAAAGATCGCGCGCAATCCGTGGCCGATCGTTAGTGTACTGCTCCGGCATTGACCTGGTGTTGATCGGAGAAACGACGGAAAACTACCGATCAGAGCGGCTGGCCGCTAGAATTCTCCTGCAGACAGGGACTGAATTCAGCCTAGATGACAAGCTAGTGTCGAAAATCCTGGCACCATCGGGACACGAACCTAGACCTTCCTGGTCAGAGGCGCTGCGGTGACATCATTCCCTGAGACGCCTCTCCAGGTTTCAACTTGAGAGATCGCGGAGTTCCTCTATCCCTGGAACTTGAGATCCGGCACCCACCTGGGTAAGATGTTTTTCCACACAGGTATCTCTCCCAAGGGAACACCGCCTTAGCCCTAGCAATGTTTTGAGCGTCCGAGTGTTCTCTCGACGTGTGTGGTGCTTATAAGCGGGCGTGTGAGAGGAATGGAGTGGACAAAGATGAAGGAAATGTTCGTCAAGGTACTGCTCCGGCATTCGCCAGTTGCTGATCGGAGAAACCACGGAAAACTACCGACCAGAGCAGCCGACCGCTGGAGTTGCCTTTCACACAGCGGATGATTTGGACCTATAGAGCTATTGTCGAAAATCCGCCACCTTGGGAACTCGACACGACCCAGCGCTAGAACATATGACGGGGGACCAGTCGGGAGCTCGTCCTAGGTGGGAAGGTACCTCGATGGGGGATACCTGGAGGGGGGAACTCCACAATCCGACGAGTAGGTCGACGTCGGACCTCCCTCTCCAGCGGTGGAGGAACACCGCTACCTCCAGAGTTATAACTCTCGCACTACACTGACGGGACTAATGAGCACAGCCATTGACGCGCCCCAGATACACAAAATGCCAATGATCCCTACCTGCCAGCCATACCAGTCACGCCGCTGCACCAGGGCGCCGCCGCGCAACAGAAGCTCCAGAACCACCGCGTCGCCACGCCATGCCGCCAGGTGAGCTGCTGCAGCCACAGATCAACAAGGTGAGGGCCTTTTCCGCCGTATTCTACTGTCATATAGACATAACACAACCAAACATAGGAACAACAAGCACATGTTAACGACCGACCCCATTAATAGTAATTTAGGAGCCAAGGCTGCAATTTCTAACGAGTAATATATTTCCGCCCGTGTGTCGTAAAACGTTTTATTTCATACTATTTCTTTACCTTTATTTTAATATCATATGGTAATATTTCAAGACTTATGAGTGCCAATAAAGTATGGGCCACGACGCCAGAGCTGCTTAAAATCTTAATGTCTGTGAAAGAATTGCAGCGCTCTTAATATTTTAAAATGGAATTGAAAGATAAAAAGATGCTTCGGAAACCGATAATAGATTAATCCAAAGAAGCATTTGCTTTATTAATATGTCAGAAATCGCAATAAAGAATATGAAAAATGTTGTCTCTAAAAAAAATCACAAATATTAACATAGTTAATGAAGATGAAATGTTGGCTTACTTATCAGACTTGGTAAGTGGTTCCTGCTACACGACATTGTAATGTATTTTGTATCTAATAAGAGTAATTATTTTGCTGCAGCCCAAGAAGATGAATCCTGTTTTCTAATGTTCAAAATAATTAAATCCATGTTATTGGTCCAATGTAATATGCACTTTTCCAAGTTTTATACATTGATAGAGTTTCCGAAGAAAACGTCAGTTAAGATATCGGGCGACACAAACACAAGAGACGAAGTCAATTTTGAGTGTTCCATTAATATGAATATAAATATTTAGCTGTGTTTTGTAAATGTTTATTTGTACATTAAAATTAAAAATAAATAAGTTAATAAGTTTTATATTACAATAAGCCTAATGATCTATTATGCAGACCATTTATTTGAGCAAAAGTGTAGATATTCAAGGCATATAGCCCCTTTAATGAATTAAATTACTTTAAAATTATGCCTGTATTATTTTCAATTCAACAGAACAAAAAGGAATACTATGTAAATTTTAAATGAAGAGAGGACAAGAGGGAAAAAAAATATATTTTCTCCAAAGGGGGGGCAGATGGAAACTCTACAGTTAAGTCAATTTAACAGAACAATATTGCGAAAAAATGTTTTAACGTAATGAAATAAATGCTTACCAGTCATTCCTTCTCGACCGTATGAGTTAATGTTGACATTTTCTTCCATCAACTTGCGGACCACTTCAACTTTGCCTTTCTCCACCGCTTTAAGGAACTTTGTTTCCGCTATTTTGTTCTTGTAGAAAGCTCGTTTCGACTTCTTTCTTTGAGACTGAGGCAAGACAACAGAGGGCGAGGAAATCGCTGTTCCTGGGAGTGCAGTGCATTGATGCTCAGTGGCAGACTGAGCATTTCGACCGGCAGGAGTCGATTCGTTGAAGGAAGTACAGGAAAGTGGTGAGTCTGCGCGTTTGGAGCCGGAGAACGCCGGAGGCAAAATATTTTTGGCAGCCGATGTACGAGGCAGCTCTGAATGTCCAGTCGATAACGTTGTCTTAGTCGGCGATGTGGATTCAGCGACTGGGGGTGTGTCATTGGTTTCAATTAAGGAGGCAGGAGCAGAGAAAGGCGCTGTAGGTTCAAGCGCTGGATTTGAACGAACACTGGAGAACGTGGTCTTAGACGCTGGTGTGAATTCACGGACTGGGAGTGTGCCATTTGTCTGAATTGACGAGGCAGGAGCAGAGGAAGGCGCTGTAGGTTCAAGCGCGGGATTTGGAAGCGCACTGGAAAACGTGGTCTCAAACGTCGATGCGAATTCATGAACTGGGGGTGTGCCATTGGTTTGAAACGTCGGGACAGACGCAGATGAATACAATTTACAATTAAACGCAGGATTTGTACACCCACTGACTTTACTTGTCTGTGTCGATTCAGAGCCTGGGTTGGTAGTGTCACCGTCACATCGAATTGACATGGCGGCAGTAGAAGACGATGAAGTCGAAATGGAGGTGTCAGCAGCTCCCGACGAGATGTCAACACGGGGTGTCTGATCCGGCACCTCTGCCGTGGTCTTGATTTGTTTCAGAAACATTTCCACCACAGCCTTCGCCTCAGGGATTATCGTCTTTATTGTCTTGATGGAAATCTCCAGGTCGCCAACTCGTTTTTCCAACTTTTCCACGGATTCCTCCAGTTGTTTCATTTCCAGGAGCTTCATCTCCGTAGCTGTCTTTTGTTGTCTCATATTCGAGACTGTCTTTTCCAATGTCTGAATTTCTTGCACCTAAAGGTGTAAATAATAATTATTTAATAATTTGTTTTTCCAATGACAATGCGCATCAGAAAAAAAATCATAAAATATTACAAGGTTACGATATACACTTAACGTATTCATTTTCAAAATAACATATTACTTTTCACAGATATCCTCACTGCCATGATTATCAATAAGATAAATTCAAAAGACGTTGTTTCCTGTTCTGTTAAGCACAGTCACAGAAAACGGCAACTCTCCTTGATCTGCGTCTTAGGGTTCTTCTCCGACATTCGCCTGGTATTGATCGGAGAAATCACGGAAGCTACCGATCTAGCCAATTGCTACAATTCTTCTCTAGATTTTTTTTATTAATTTTTATATTTGCAGAAGTACATAGCTCTTTAAAAATAACTATACATATGCGTTAAAAGGCTTTCTGATACTATATACTATATACTCTACACTTAAATGCAAACTTACATACTATTACAAGGGGAAGGAATTCCTTTAAGGAGTCTTCAGTCAGGATCTAAATAAGCAAATTATTTTAGGAATATGTGGTATGGTTATTTGTTTATTATTCCTGTTTGGAAAATGAGGTTTTTGGCCAGGCTGAAGGGCGAAAGGGCTGGGATTTGAGGTAGGTTAAAATAAAAGTTCGAGGCCAGATCCAAGATGTGTTGCTCTATAGGTTTCAGGTTAAATTCATTATGGAGTTGTTTGTTGGTTATATACTAAGGGGCATGAGCAACTAACTATTCTTAAGAATTTATTTTGCAGTACTTGTAGTTTGTGAATATTAGATTTGGCAGAGTTGATCCACAATGGGCACGCATTTAGCATTAGCGGTCTTAAGACTGTTTTGTAAATTGCTATGGCTGATTTGCATTATATTGGATTGTTTCTGTAGATTAAAGGTCGTAGCTGTAACAGTTTTATTTGGGCTTCTTCTCCACATACCGGATGATTTAGTTCTAAATAGCTATTGTTGAAAATCCGCACTGGCAAAGGTGGAACAGGGCCCCTGACAGGGAAGTCATGGGGTTCGAATCCCGACGTCAGGATTCTATATACCTAAGTCGAATTCAGCCGCTGGCGGAGGATAATTCTAACGGCCGGCCCCTGATCGGTACTTTTCTGTGGTTTCTCTGATCAACACCTGGCGAATGCCGGAGCAGTGCCCTATCAAACGGGCCACGGGGCACGCGCAATCGCGGAATAAATTTAGAATGAAAATTGATTATTTTGGCATCCCATTCTCAACTCTCAAGGCCAATCTCTGTTTACATTTATCTAACTAATACATGTATGATTACTACCTTTTTACTTCCCGTAGATACGGAGTAATATACGTAGTATGTAATGCTCCGCAACAAAACGGTGGATTTTTGACAGAAAAAAAAATATTACCGGGCCCTGATAACGAAAAAGTGTTAAAGTTGTTCCAGTTGTGAAACTAAGAAGAAAATCCTCAAACACGTGGTGTAGCCAGAATCCTTTTGTGTGTCTTTGATGCCGAAAAACCAATTGACGGCAAGACTTCCGAGCGCCTGTGAACATCATTAGCACCTACACCGTACATAGTTTTTTTTTTCAAATTGAAGAAACCTCTGTCGATCTGGCTCGAGTCGAAACTTTGAGATGTTTAAAACAGTCTTTAAGATTTGGGGACACTTTACATGAAGGCCCACGTGAACATTTTCAAACGTTTCTTAAACACATTTTTTCTTTAAATTTTCCACATTTTTTCTTTAAATTTCTTGTAATAATAGAGTAAAATACACTTATAAATGAGGCATAGGTCCAATTTTCACGGTTAACTCTGAATTTTTGAAAATTGCAAACTTTTTATTTTTTCGGTAACTACCTAAATACAAAATTGAACAAGAAAATTAAAGATGGAGATTTTTCCTTCAAGTGAAATTTGTTGTACATAATTAGTTCCATTAAGGTCATGAACTTTTTTCAAACTTTTAGACGTTTTCTCGCAATATTGCGTTTATTCATTTTGATGAATTAATATAAGTTAATATGAAGTTCATTTTGGGATATATTTTTTCAAAAATTACACACATGTATTTTTTTTAAAGATCTCTTACGTCGTTAATAAGAACCTTTCCAGCAATTTATAAACACTATTGTATCTGTGCTTCCAATGACTTCAAATGAAGCTTTTCGAAATCACAAAGATTTTTTGGGAAGAAAAAAGCTTCAAATTTCGAATTGACAGTTGCGCTTACATGCCATTTTCTTTAAAACGACTCCAATTTTTCAAAGAAATTTGACACATAGGACAAGGTTTTACTGCTCTTATAATAATATTTCCATTCTACTATTAGGAAAAGAGTTTTGTGAAGAAGTACGAGTAGATGGCAGCCAAGAGTATGTAGCAAGTCAGAATAGATAGCTGAGACCAAAGGAAATAGAAAACGAATTCGGGAAAGTTCTGTGGCACCACTTATTTAATACTTTTACCATGGATGAATACAAGGATACCCAACTCTATCTTCCTTAAGAATATGTTTCTTGCCCGATAGAGATGCGCCCGGTGAGCATGTTCGAGGCCAACTCAGGTTCCGCCGGCTTGGATTTGCCCTTAGTTCCTTATTTGCTACCGTCATGTGTAGGCTTGTTCTTGTAATGGACAGATTTTTTTGTTGCTATCTCTCTTGATGAATTAAAACTGATTGTGACATTAAACATAGTGTTTCGGTTATAACGACTACAAAGTGCTAAGCTTATGTGATTACAGCCTTGTATTAGGCTGCCTTTACTTCTCTATTCGCGATGGACCACGATGTGATAGCATGCGATTTGTTTTCGTGAATTTGTGTATGTGTGTATGATCACAAGAGTGTAGGTGAATATTTTGACGGTGTTTTAGATTTCAAAGGTATGTGGCCTGTCCTTTTAATGATTGTACTGTTTTCTTTTTCAATTTTGTTGCTATTATCTCTCTAGGTAAAGTAAAATTGGTCATGGCACTAAATATGGTACTTCGGTTATAAAGAGTACTTACTGCTAAACTTATGTGACTACAAGGATGATTTGGGATGCCTTTTCTTTTCTATTGATGGTGGGCCACAGTGTGATTGCACGCTGTTTTTATCTCTGTTCTTTTCTTTCTTAAGGTAATAGTTTTTCTAATCACTAGAAATGTTATTTTCGTGTTTTCAATTTTTTTAATTTAGGAGGTAAAGTCTTTTTTAAACAGGTAATATGGTGATATCTATTGATATTACTCAATAAAATCAACGGTAAAGAAACCATTAAATGTGAATAGAAGAGTCAAAATATGATTAAAAATTTCTTTGCAGTAAAAAAGTTTTCAATATTAATGACAAATATTATATTGTCTTTAGGATTCATATATTAAAATGTATGTTTCCTGATTACTAATTTTTAATTAGTAATTACTAATTTCTTTCAGTTTTCTTGCAGGTTAAGTTCACATAATAATCCATACAATATTTAAAGTTTATTTTATTTATCACTTAGGGAAAATTTTCGTATCGTACACTATTTAGTTTTCATTACAAGAAATCAGTTATGTGAAAGAAAATTTCTTTTTTATGTATATTGGAAAGCTTTTATGTATCAATTTTCTCGTGAAAGGAATACAACCCGTTTAAGAATAATTTAATAGAAATGCCTTGCAAATGATTAAGCTGAATACTATTATTTACCTATCATGATTACACAAATATACACGTCCCTCGTTTTCAGTCCCAAATGTTTTAGAGCACTTTTCAGTTACTTTTTGGCAAAAAAAAATGTGGGATTTATTTTTACTAGAAAATAAAAAACCTTTAATTGACAAAAATTGAACCGATGACTAAAACATAAGCAATAAACGAATAACCGTTGTCTGCGACTGAATGTGGGGGAATTAACATTGTCCCTAAGGATGTGTAAGAGTCCAACTTGCAAGGCCTCACGGGTCGCAACTGAAACCTTGAATATGGTTGCGGGCGAATATTTTCATTACTCGGGCGATCTCCACGTGGCCCCATATAGTTGATCTCGACAATTTGCCCGACTTCTCTGGTATGAGGGGAGGGGTATGCAACCATGCGTGATATCAGGCCGTACTATTCCTAACGCAGTGAAACACATTGGGATTATTTTGAATTTTTTGAATTTACTAGGAAAAAATTCTTAAATGTAAACTTAACTGTTTGTACATTAAGGCGTGATGAGCCAGGTAAGGTGCGTGCGCTAGGCGCACTAAGTTGTCGCCGGATATGGACGAAAAGGGTCTTTCACTTTGGACAAATAACTTTCTGTGGCCCATAGTAAATGGCACCGCGCGCAGCCTGTTGGACAACGCTATCGTAGGGGATCATTAATCGCTTCCACGAAAAAATGGTGAATGCTGAAAATAATTAAGACGACAGCTAAATCAAGATGCAGGTTTCAATGTAAATGTTTCTGCGGAGGAAATACAATTCCTTGGAGGTGCTCGGATCGATTTACTGATGTTTACGTGCACGTAAACTGATGTCATTGGTTCCGTTAGAGTAGTGAATGTTTTATCCTAGAAGGTGGCAATGTTCTCGCTTTAGGCCCGGCCCCCATCAAATAGTCACTTTATGAAAGATTTCCCTCGCGAGGTATCTACCCCAGAGGGTCACCACCCCAACCGGGACAAAATCTGAGCTCCAGACACGTATGGTAGTGTTGTGCGTGTGTGTATGAATAAGGAGGAGATGATAGGGGATATGAATGATGAAACGTCGCGCGCCTCTGGCCTGTTGATCAGCTGCGTTTTTGTCTGGCGTTGATCGTAGACACCACGTAAAATTGCAGTGCAGACGGCCGCTAGAATTCTCTTCGAGACTGCGGTTGAAGTCCACCTAGTTAAATAGCTAGTGTTGAAAATCCACCACTAACTCGATCCCTACGACCTTCCGGACAGTCTCTACAGACGCAATGGGTTTCACGCCTTCCTTCGGAGGGGAAGTAAAGCCGGATGTCCCATGAGAGCGTAGGCTTCCGCGGCCGGAGTCAGTATTTACTAGGCTGTCCGGGTGACGCCGCGTCCATGGCGAAGGTGCCGACGTTCCGGTCGCCATTCTGCGACCTTATGCTGCTATATAATTAATATATATATAATATAATATTATAATGCTATCGCATTACGCCCTGAGGAAGGTCGCAGAATGGCGACCGAAACGTCGGCACCTTCGCCGTCGGCGTCACCCGGACAGCCTAGTAAATACGACTGTCCCATGTTGTAAATTTACTGCATGGAAAGATCCTCAAACCTAAAAGAAGCCTCTGGGCTAGATACAAAATCACCTGTTTCGTCCTCCCACCTTTCTCCGCTAGATGGTGAAAGGAGCGTAGCTAATCTGGCGTGGTTTGACGGAAGAGCGGGCCAGATGGCCCGAGTCTCGTCACGTGAAATAAAGCATTCTCTCAACGGTAATGCTAACTCCGCTAGTGGAAGAGTTAGTGAACCCCGAGGGCTCTACTCTACTCGTCCCTGGCGATACTTACAAATCTCTCTTCCAGCTCGCGGATCGCAGTTTGCTGCCGCTCCACCACGTTGCTTGCCGCGTTTTGCACAGCTGCGTCGATCATACCTTGCACCGCCGACTGGACAACTGCGTTCCTGGCTATGGAGTCCAAGACCACGTTACCCGAAGAAGGTACGATACTTTCCGTTAGACCCATGGTGGAGTTACAACGCTACCTGAAACGCAATTAGCATCACACAATTAAAAAGCAAAACTAGTTAAGCAACAACAGCAAATACTTTCTCGCGTTTTTTGTAATGGCTCCGCAATATTATACTACTACGTTAACCTACAATTTTTTCCCCAACCAGTAGACTCTTTGATCTGGGCTGTCCGGGTGACGCCGCGTCGATGGCTGATGTGCCGACGTTTCGACCGACATGTCGCGGTCCTCTTCAGGGGCTGTACTGCTCACCCGGACAGCCCAGATCATGACTCTGGCCGCGGAAGCGTACGACATCAGTAGACTCTTTACCCCTGCCGAGACTCGATCTCAGGTCCATTCAGTTAACAGGCCATGCGCGGTACCGTTACTCCATGTAGTCGCTCGGACGTTCTCTTATTTGTATTGGCCTCAGCACCGTTAGATCCCGGGTTCCTAGTCGGTCACTCAGCGGGGTCGTGGCCTTTCAGTAGAACCATCCCAGTATTCGCCTGGATGACCGAGGGAAGCCACGAAAATCCGATGCCCCGATGAAATGCGAAGTCAACGCGCTACGCTCTCAGCTTCGGTCGTTTTCACAATTCCCGACGTTTAAATAAGTATGGTCTCTTGCATTATTTCCAACTCGCAATTTTTCATCGTCAAGGTCCCACAAAACATGGATTCTGAGGAAGTAATTTTTTGATTAAAGTTTTTTATGACACCAAATTTATTGAGTGAATTTTGACCTCGGATAGCATAAAGGACGCTTAAAAGAATGCTACAGGTCACAAGCTCTTTGAAATACTAGATGTTCTTGTAAAATCGATAAAGTGCATCTTCCTACAACTACAATTATGAAGTCTTATTTTAATGAAATATATTAATCAAAAACATCTTCAAATAAGGCCATGTTCAATTTCCGAAAATATGATTTTTTTGCGAAATTCTGCGTATATTCCGTAACTATTTTCAACGAGAAAGTATGTGCTGTTGTAGCTAGTTTTTCTGTTATTAAGCTTAGTATTTCCGGGAGGAGGACTCAGAGATCCAGCGATGCTTGTTTGGATAGCATTCAATCTTTCTAGAAATCAGAAAATCATTGATTTTGCTTACGTGGTTTGTTCAAAATGTAATGCAATTTTTCACATGTTTTTGTTATAATTTCAGTTATTACACCGTCTTGACAGTGGATAAAAAATCGAGACTTTTCATTCGAAAAGAAACATTCAGAATTCATTTTGAAACAATTGTATTTAAAGCACACTCTAAAAAATGATTAATGCATTATGAAGATATAACGACCTTTAGCATAAACATGTAATAGGTTTTGACAGTAAACACAAATATTTATTCATTTATTTAAACACAAATATTTGTTTTCATTTAGAGCAAGAAATTAATTTTTTAATGAATGTACATGTATATTATTAGTTATATTAATTTACTATTATCTATCTATCTATTTAGCGGTTTTTTACAGCCTTGGCCGTTTTCCGCATCCCAATTTCCATGACTCTTCATCCCATACATCGTTTTCTTCCATTTCTCTTTTTTCCATGGCTTCAGTTATTGCCATGTTCCATGTACTTCTCGATCTTCCCCTGTATCTTATTCAATTTGGTATCCACTCCCAAACATTTTGAGGAAGTCTATCCGACTTCAACCTTCTCATATGTCCATACCATTTTAGTTGTCTCATTTCGATGTATGTTCAGTTGTTTGTCACTTTCCTTTTATTTCCTTATTTTCAATCCATTTCTATTTTAATCTAACAGAGGAAAGTTTACAACATCTTCGCCAGAAACATCATGTCTGTTTGACTTGAAATTTGTCTTTCATTTTTTTTTATCAGTGTCCTACTTTCTGGCGCCCCATAGAGTGTGGTTTCCCTAAGTAACGAGCTATTATGCGTTCTTCTTTGTTTTCATTGAAATAATTGAGTTTCCAAGCACCTGGTTTCAATCTGTCTTGTGGCTATTTTTCCTCTTATTTTTTATTTTTCACACCTGTTCGTTCTCTACCATCTGCTGTTGTGTGACTCCAAATACTTTATATTGTTTGGTTTTACCTTTCATTATTCTAATACTATCTCTAAATCATGGGGCATAACTCCCACCACCATATATTCAAGTTTTTTTTTTTTTGTAAAATTTATTTCCATCCCCCATTTTCCATATTCTTCTACTAATTTACTATTATTATTACTTATTTACTATTCGATATTTTTACTTTAATTGATCAAAAATCGACAAAAACTTCCAAATCAATTATGTGCTGGGAGTTCCGTAGCCGGAATGGCATCGCGATGGGATCATATGGCTATGCAGTAAAGAACATCTGTTCCGAAAATGGCATCCGATGAATTTGTAAGCAGTAGCAGCCTAATCACCCAAGCTCGGGCGCCCGAAGTAGGTCAGATGTGACTCGTGGAGAAACAGCTCGTGTTGAGGTTCAGCAAGCCTAATAAAACAGTATAATTCGATTTTATTAATTCGTATTTTGGGACTCTCGAACGATAGGCACATGATATTATAAACTAACTATTAATTATAACTGCTTTCAGCAACGTGAACTGGGCGAGGACAGTATTGAGACATTTTCCACGTCAAATCGCCACTCACAAAACTCACTATTTTTTAGCAACTTAAAATTGATTTTTCACTAGTTCTAGGGTTGAAAAATAGGTGATATCGTTTCTTTCTTTATTTTTTTTCTATCAACCCCTTTGGAGAAATATTACCCATTTATTTTTTTTTTCCGAGGATCATGCACGCGCTAATGTTAATTTTTTTGCGCAATACCGTTTATACAGAAACTTAAAAAATACAATAAAATTTTATCTAAAAAGATGTTACTTTCATGTGACGTAAATATAGTTTTTTGCAAGCATGATTTAAAATATGTTATTTAATTTTTAAAAATTCAAATTTTTTTTACTTCAGGTCGACCCTTAAATTATTGAAAAAAAAATACTTATGTATCTCTACACTAATTTGAATAGATTGTCCAAATTTCAAAGAGGGACATACATAAATACCATTTAAAAAAGTTTTTTCACCGGCACTGTGGGAAGAATGTAGGCATTGTACGATGGGTAGAATAACGCATTCCTGCGCACAGAGGACCGCGATGATGATTTTATGTTGACTCAAGCGGCCCTAACCAAGGGCGCTCTTACGCATCCTTAGGGTACAGTATTAAGAGCGGTCTTCATTTGCATGTTCTAACCTCTGCGACTTGTGAAATTGCACTCGAGAGACAGAGAGGGACAGAACAGACAGAGAGACAACAGCCAGAGAACGGAGAGAGAGGGAGGAGATAGAGAGACGGAGAGAGAGGGACGGGGGGAGAGAGACGGAGAGAGACAGAGAGACACAGAGACAGAGAGAGACACACCACAGAGAGAGACCAGGGAGACGGAGAGAGAGACACGGGAGAAAGGGCGATGAGAGAGACGGAGAGAGAAAGGGAGAGGGGAAGAGAAGAGGAGGAGGGCGGAACAGTCTGCTGGGTCCGTAGTTAATTTATAAACCTTGGGGTCTCTTAATCAAGAATATCATTAATTTTCGTGGGCAGCAAGCTTCAAGAATATCGGCTTTACACATTATTAAGGGTGACCAGCGATCTAGCGTTTTTGGAATTCCAGGCCATTTTTCCGGTTTTTTTTCACGTCTGTTGAATTAAAATTTTTTTCAGTTTCTTTGTCTCGCAAATTACGTCTTTGTCGTGGCCATTCTTCAGGGCTGGTATGTCATGGCATATACACCCGTACAGTCAAGATCATGTTACTTGGTTTAAAAATTTGTCCGAAAGTACGAAAACAAATTTTATTAAAAAATTAGCTTCGGCATTTCTGGGAAAAAGAGATTCACTCAGATGAACTCATTAAGCAGTAAACGTCGTTTGGGATGATCAAAAATGCGAGTTTGTAGGATAAAAGGGCTCCGGTGCGTATACTCCGGCTCATTCGTTCCGGGTATTTGAATTCCGGAATGAATCTTAGAGCAAGGTGGAATGTCAAACAGAAAACCTTAAGAAGAAAAATACATCTAAAATAAGATGTGAGGAGCTGGAATAAAAGTTTATATTCACAAAATTGGCTTCAGTTTTTTTTAAAAAACCAGTTCAAATCGGGAAATCGGATATTTTGAGTATTTTCCTCAAACAATTTTAAGATTTCGATTCGAAGGAAGACGGAAATATGTGAAAAATATACTTATGTACTACTATTACAGACCGTTTACCTCGTTCGTAATAGAGTAATATAGCATCTAATTGGGTTACTCTGGTGGAAAAATAGACAGATTGCAAAGAGACGACAGCAAACCGACTGGGCTGGGCTTGCGTATCCGCAAGTCCCGCCTGCTCCGCCGCGGGCTGGCCCGCACCCGCTGGTCCTGGTCAGGCCCCGCGCCCGTCAGAGGGCCCCACCACAACAATCGGGTGGCTTGATGAACGCAACTGGGCACCAACGGGCGGAAGAAGGAAGGGGGCGAGGGTTTTTCGTAAATTTCACTTTAACGAACGCTCCTAAATTCGGTCGAATTTGGCATGATTGTTACGGTGTTGGATTCAGGAAGATGGTCGCCCCGCGCTATAACCCACATTTTATTTTTTCTCGTAGTTTGAGACCTAATTTCAAATTTCGAGATTTTGCCAGATTTTTGGGAAAAAGGGCCTTCGGTGTAGCGTAAAATCTATTTAAAAAGGCGTCAAATGCGTTTACAGCCATAAAAATCGGGAAAATTGGTTCAGACGTTATCGGTAGTGAATTTTGCTTATTTTGGGTGTGCCGGGGGTGGCCACAAATTGTATAGTGTCGGACATTTGAGCCTTAATCATTTGATTTTCTCTGTTTTAATTAGTTCGGTTTTTTGCATATCAAATGTTTGAACTTTCCTGCTAGTCTTGAATATATTAAAAGGAGGATGTACCCCATTATTCATGAATTTAACAGATTTAGGCTCTATCTGTGTTCTTACAATACACTGAATATTAAGACAATCTGCTCTTTAAGAAGGTTTCTCTTAT